TAAAGTGCACTGGGTTCCAGTGTGCATTTGAGAAGCTTCTCGTTTCCAAATGGAAAGCCAGTCTTCATTCACACGGCTGTGCCAATGTCTTCTTAAAACTATATAATTTGTCTGTTCTAAGTAAGACCAGGATTCCCAGTGTACTGTAATGGATAGAGTAGTGGACCAGGACTCTCAAGAATGGGGTTTAATTTCCTACTTAGCCAGAGAAACTCACTGGGGGAGCGGAAATGGTAAAACCACTCCTTAAATAAATATCTCACCTTGAAAGCTCTGTCAGGGTCACTGAAATTCAGTTCCAACTTGACAGCGCAGAATACATGCATGCAAGACCAGATCTGCTGCTAGATAAAGAGGCAGCTGCATTTGGCCATGTTGTCTGAGGATCCTGGGAGTTTTAATTCAAGTATTTGCACAGTGTGGGGTTTGGAAAGAGCTGCTTTAAAGGAGCCAGGGTAGATCTCTAAGCTGTGGATGGGAAAACATTGAAAGTCAGTTCCAACTTGACAGTGCAGAATACATGCATGCAAGACCAGATCTGCTGCTAGATAAAGAGGCAGCTGCATTTGGCCATGTTGTCTGAGGATCTTGGGAGTTGTAATTCAAGTATTTGCACAGTGTGGGGTTTGGAAAGAGCTGCTTTAAAGGAGCCAGGGTAGATCTCTAAGCTGTGGATGGGAAAAACCAGTACATTCTTTAACGAGGAACCTCTGGCGATGGTGTGATCCCCCTGAAAGCAAAAATGTTTTCACTGTTCAAATCTAAGTCTTAGCAACCTGTCTGGAGGGGGTGGGGGTGGAATTTCATCTCTAAATTGCAGCTTGGACATTGATCTTGCCAAGTCTAGGAAGCATTTAAAAACACATTGGCTTGGATCATAAGATGATTTTAATGGGAAGGAAATTACCAAAACAAAGTTTCTAATGCCCTCTTCCACTGTGGCCAATGGCCGTGCTGCTTGGGGAGTCTAATAGTCATATAGATTGGACAAAACATCAGAAGCAGATGAAGGTGTTGGTTCATTTACTCCAGTCATGCTTTTCGGAAGCTCTTTAGGTTCTCAGGAAGAGAGAACCTCCGTGACTTTTAAAAAAATCTAACTGAAGAAGCCATGGGTTGAATTAAGGTCCCCGAGTATTAACAAGCAAGTGGTTTCCTATTGAGCTCTGCCCTCTCCTCAAAACAGGTGAGAACTGGACTGGGTTCCTTCCTTTGTAGGGATTTTCAAAAATCTGTAACTGTTTTCATTAACTGAGGTTGACATGTTAACTCTGAATGCAGGACAAATCAAGCCTGGCAGACTTCATCTTCCCAGAGCAGAAGGATTTGAAGGTTTAGCTTTTAAAAATCTGGCTTTGAATACCAATGTATTCAGCCATGTTCATGGTGCTGGAGCACAATGACCACCCTTTTACGTTTAACTAGTTCCTCACTGTTGATAGAAACAGGGCAGGAAAGTAAAAAATCATCTTCTCCACACTAGAAATCCCGAGAATCTCTTGACATATGCTATTGACATGCTGTTGGGGAAATGATCTATTAACACCTCTGGGAGACAAGAAGATTTGGTAACCAATTAAACTGGGCTTAGGAAACAGCTTGGAGAAGCTACGATTAGCTAAGCTGTGTACAGCCCATATATTTGAAAAACGAAAAATGAATAAAGTCATTTTAAAAAAGAAAGAAGGGCCAACTTGCTAGGAATGGATTGAGGCTGTAGAAATGACTACATTACTGCACCTCCAGGAGAATTATGAGAGCCCTTGTAGGCAGCCAAGTAAGCAACATTTATCTCTTATGTTTTGTATTTTTTTTAAAAAAAGGAGAAGTAGGAAGAAATAGGTTCTTTACAATGAAAGGATGGACAGTTGAGATCTTGGAACGTTGGAGGGTATAAGTCATGGGCGGGTGACTTTTTTAGGCGTGGGGGAGCAAGTTTGTACTTCCAACACTTACCATGGGCTGTATTCATTCCAGAAATGGCAACAGGAGGCCAAAAACGGGAAGAGGGGGGACAAAATTGGAAATGCCTGGGTGGTGTTTATTTTTGGGTTGGGGGACGAAGGTTAGAAGTGTTGCTTAAGCATCCCGGAGCATGAATGACTGCTCTTGGAGTCCTCGGGAAGTAAGAAGGTCAGATTTTGTGCCGTTTTATCCTGGTAAACCTGGAGAGGATTTGGGGGTGGGTGGGAGCAGAATTGGGAGGCTGCACTGTGCTCACCCCTGGTTTAAGTGAAAGAGGAACTCATAACCTAACATGTCAGCAATGTGTACAATAGCATGACTGCTCCAACTACCTTCAGCAATAAAGGTCATCATGGCCAGCTTGGAAGGCAAAGCAACTAAGAATGTAATAAGTTCTTTTCCCCAGGAACTTTGTCCAAGCCCTAAACACAGAGGTCTTCTGATTAGATTATTTCTTTTTTTAAAAGGGAGCAGCCATTGTGTGACAAGTACCATTGTCGTCAGAATGGCCTGCTATATCTGTAAACCAGGCATCAACGATCACTCTCCTGTCTACCTACGTTCATGAAAAATTGTATTTCTGTAGGAATGTTTATACTAGGTTTGTGCAAGGAGCCCCTGATTTGGTTCAGGACCTGAATTTAGTAATTTGGATTTAGGACTGGCTTCACTGGGCTGGTTCAGAGTAATCTGATCTGCTTCAGATCAGAAGCTGAACTGAAATTTAGAAATCCAAACATTTATTTCCTTTGAAAAACTCCAGACAAATACTGTAGGCCTGAGAAATTGGTGTTACACATATTTTTTTAAAAAAATTCCCATGTGGTTTTTCCCCCCTACATAAATTCATAGAAATGGAGGCATTATAATCCCGTGTGAGTTTATGGTTACTGACAAGTTTCATGAAGATATGTCCAGGCAGTTTTGTGCTATACATTTTTAAATTTGGCTTTCTTAAAATTTGCTAATATGCATGCTTGGTTTCTTCACTATAGTAGTGCACATGAGTTATGTATGGTGCTAGTACACAAAGACTTAGTCAGTGAAGGCAGAGCAAATACACAAAGCAATACAGAGTGAAGCCTAAAAACTGGGGCCGAATGTATGGGAAAGAGAGTATAAGACATTAAGGGAAGTGCTACTACCTGATAAAAAAATGATATTTAAGCACATAGCCACCACATGAACTCATTCAAATAAATCAGTGTATAGTGTGTTGAAAAATGAGACCAGTTTTGGAAAGAACTAAGAATAGAGGATTGATATTCAATGTGGAAGAAGGGGGGGGGATGATGCTAAACACAAAACTAGCATCAAACGGTGACAACATTCTTTCAAAAGCTGCATTCAAAGAGTGCTGCTGAGATCCTTGCCCAGCCCAGACTGAAAGCTAGAGATAGTGTGGGAGGAGGAATAATGAGGGATAACTAACCAACAAATTGAGATTCACACACAATAAAGAGGTTGCTACTCAAATAAACAAATCAACAAGGAAGGCCAAGAGAGAGATTAGACTTTGCTATTCAAATTACGAAGAGAAAATGTTCAGAAGTGAAGAGATGGATTCTGACTAATGAAGACAATTAAACACTGCCAGAACATTCACCATCGCTTTTTGAATAATCCACTACTAACAGCTAGAGGAAAGCGGGGGTGGGAAGCTGCCTAAGAGAATACATTATTTGCATCACACAATCTTCTCTGCAAGCAGAATGACTGGAAAGTGCTGATGAAATTCTTGTCCAAGATAGCAACTATAGCAGCCAATGGGCAAAGCCCAAAGCCCGTCCTCCCTTCTCGATCATACCACCCTGGCATTTTCCTTAAATGGTGCTGTTTTGCAAAATTTTGGAGACACACTACTACACTTTCTTTTAAATGTCTGAATTGCTAAATCAAAGTTATCTGAATTGATTTGTTTCTCTTTGGACCTACTTCATGCCACATCAGTCTGTTTCAGGCTTGATCCTAATCAGTTTGACTGTGCCTGATTCTGCTCAGGATTTAGCCTAACTGTCTTCACAGTTCCAAAAATCTGCATGGATAATTTGATCAGACTCTGGCTGTGTAAGACCAATTCATTTCCACTGGATGAAAAAGGGCTTCCTGCCAAAGCTACCCAATCCAAGGCTAAATCTCATTCTAAGATTTATTTCTCTTTTGCATTAGTTGCTACTTCTTTCCCCTCCTCCTTTGAAATAGTTTTAGAAAATACGGGCTGCATGTCATCCCTTAGAAAGAAAGAAAGAAAACTGAATAGGTGAAGAGGAATACGTAATTAGATAAATGTAATTCAAGACATTTTTCTCTGCGGAAGCAACCATTCAGCTTTTCCCCTTCTGTATTGTATTTGTGCTGTTCCTAGACTATGAAGGGTTGCTCACACTGCTGTACTGGCAGTAAAAGAGATTTTGCTGCTGTTGATTTACAGGGGTGGGGGGAAACAGCTAGAAGCAACTTAATGCAGTTTCCCCAACCTTTTTCTAGATGTATTAAACTTCCACTACCCATTAACCCCACAAGCTATGTTAATTTGAATTATGGGAGTTGTAGTCCACCACCTTCCACCTCTGGCAGACTGTGGAAGGTTGTGTGCTCTCTGTGTGCTTTCTACTCTTCTTTGAGTACTTCAATTAATTTCCATGTCCATTTCTGAGGATATAAATTATCCCAAGCTGGCTTAGAAGTAGTTTCAGCATCATACATTTTTGAGCATGACAGTAAACAGTAGAAACATAGAACCAGTTTGCTAGGATCCTTCCCGGAGGGTAGATGATTATGTCAGTTTCCAAAAAGTCAACAGGCGGAGCAGATGCTGATCTTTCTCTTTCTGCAGGCATTTTTGCTGACTAATGCAAGAGTGGCTGGATGTTGTTGGGCTGCAACCCCCATCAGCCCCAGTCAGCATAGGCAATGGTGGGAGTTGTAGCACAACAACATCCACAAGGGCAGAAGCGGTCCAACTCCTGGGTTAGATGATGAATGAACTAACAACTAGGTTGGCCCTTCTATCTAATGTTTGGATGCCTTTGCAGGGACAAGCTGTTGCTCAGCTCTGCTCAACCATCCCCAATGTTACTGTCTTTGGAACAGCTTCTTCCTTCAAGCACGAAGCAATCAAAGATTCTGTAACTCACCTCTTTGATCGGAATGCAGATTATGTCCAAGAAGTTAAAAAGTAAGTAATTGTTTATATCCCACTTGCCGATAGTAACTGTGAAAGCTAGCATGGGAGTACAAAAATGTTTTCCAGGTCAGTTTTTATTCTTCTGTTATGTATAGCTAGCTAGCTGGATAGTTCAGTAGTTTAGGTCTCTGGCTACAGAGCCAGACATTGGCACTTCGATTCCGTGCTTTTCCTTCTGGGGGAGGAGGCAGCTTAGGTAGACTTGGCCAAACTGCACAGTTCCAGGGCACCCGTAGAAGAAGGGACTGGTAAACCACTTCTGCATATCCTCTAAATGGGAAACTCTGAAAAGGGTTACCATAAATCAGAATTGACTTGCTGGTACACAGTGTTAATAATGATGATGATAGATGGTTAGTATATAATTATAGGTACAGTGGTGCCTCGCATAACGTTTGCTTCGTTTAACGTTTTTTTCGCTGAACGTTTATTTTTTCAGAGTCAGATTGTGCTTCGTATAACGTTTTTCCCTATGGGCGATTTTCACATAGCGATTTTGGGACCATGCTTCGCTTAACGTTTTTGGTTTTAGGTCCCCTGCTTCACTTAACGATGTTCATTTTTTCAATTACAAAAGTGTCTTAACATGTTGAAAAACGGTTTTAAATGCTTGGAATCGTTAGTGCACCTTCTAAAATGTGTGCATACTTAATTTGGCGTTGATCTGACTTTTCGTTAATTTTTTGTGAATTTTTTTCTCCCCCATAGGAAACAATGGAGCTGTCAGATTTTGACAGCTGTCAAAAGTTGGGGGGAAAAAATTCACCATAAATTAACGAAAAGTCAGATCAAAGCCAAATTAACTTTTGCTTCCGTTTTAGAGGGTGCAGAAGCTAATCCAAGCATTTAAAACCATTTTTGACCCTTATATGACACACTTAAATTTGCAAAAATTGACTTCGCAAAGCCATTGAAATGTATTGAGTCAGCTTCAATACATTCCAATGGAGGAAACATTGTATCGTTTAACGATGTTTCCTATGGGTTTTTTCGCTTAAGGACGGCAATCCGTGCCTATTGGAATGGATTAACCGGTTTCCAATGCATTCCTATGGGAAATGGTGTTTCGCATAAAGTTTTTTTCGCATAAGGTGTTTTTTTTTGAACCAATTAAAAACGTTATGCGAGGCACCACTGTATATGGGTTTATACAAGTAATGGCTTGCTGATGATTGTTGAGTTGGTGTTTTTGGAGTTAGCTTTTGTCCAGCTCAAGACTTCACCTTTCCTAGTGCAGCCTTCCCCAACCTGTTACCCCTCCAGATATGCTGAAGTACAACACACATCATTCCAAACCAATGTCCAGGTAGTGAAATAAGTAATTGGTGCTGCGCTTGACCTCAGAAGCAGCGGGAGGAATGCATGGCCAAAGAACAGCTCCAATGTTGCTGTGTGATCTTGCAACAAAGAGAGGAACCTCTTTATACCTTACACCTGTGGTCGAAAACAGTTTTGACACAAAGAATATCCACTATTCGGGTTTTTTGCCATGAAAGCCACAGGGAGAAATCTGAGCTCATATCTGTTTTTCTGCACCTAACTTCCCTTTTAATAGATGTGAATTGAATTTTTGGAACACTTCTCTGGCTCAATAGAAGCAACCTCAATGAAAGACATCATCTTATTTTTCCCCCGCCTCTGGCCAAAGCAATTTGCCAAGAAGTACAAGTTATTTATAGGTGCTTTGATTAGCTTTCGTTTGTAACCTTTCTGTCCATCTCTAGGGGGTGGTGCTCATCCCCGTTTCCATGACCTCAAAACTTGACCAATCTACAAGACTCAAACAGTGCTAGAGGGGAATATGGCAGGGAAGGGACAGGGAAGAATCAGAAATCCATTGGCTACATTTCTAGGCCTAAAGATCACCTCCCCACTCCAATCAAGGATGAGAAATGGTTGCTGTTTGGACCATAAGACCTTGACTTCAATGGACGGCCTGACCATTACTCCAGGTACAACTGGTCAGATTGCACTGTTCGGTATGCTTTTATAACATAATAGATGAAACACATACACACAACAAGATACAGAGTGAAGTCTTGTTTTAAAAGACAGCCATGCCCTCTTAGAGCTGCGATTCAGTTATTTTAAAATGATGGCAGATTTTTCCTCCCTGGTGAGATCTGGGCACAAGAAAAATGGGCCCAAGACCACATAGAATCCAGGAGGTGCATTACTGCGGTGACGGTAGTAGGGCCCAACAGGACTTTAGCGCCCTGACAACGACGATGACAGAAACAAATGGAGGACAGAGCAGGCTGATGGAGGACCCTCAATCTGCCCACTATCATTTCCTTCCCATTTGTAGTAGGGGGAGGGAGATCCTTCACATCAAAGCAACAGGAAGGGGGAGAAGCAAACCCAGGTCAAGGAGGACATTCAGATAAAGGTGGACGGTGAATCTGCCATTGGGATAAACCAGTGGGTTTCTGCATTCTAGTTGTGCCATGCTAGCTGTAAGATTTTCCACCTCTAATTTTTTTATTGATTGTTTGACCGATTGATTCAACTTCTATACTACCCCATAGGACTTTACAACGTAATTATGCAAGGGGCCCTTTTACCTCTCCCTAAAACAGCCAGGGAAATTGTTCTCACAATTCTCTTTACTGAGCTTCCAAAATAGGATTTGCTCTTTGGGACAAGTTTTCTGGGCTCTATAGGTATCCTTTTGGAGGTCCAGAAATGTAGACACTTATTGTAAACCTTGCCCTCCCTCCATCATATTATTGCCTTGGCATGTCTTGATAATAAAAAGCAATATGCATTTTATGGTGATGCTCTGCATAATTCGCCTTCATGCATCTGTAAAGAAATGGTTTCTGAAAAATGTGTTTGTTTGTTTGATTGATTTTTATGTTGCCCATCTGCCTACCAAGGCCACTCTGGGCACTGTACAGGGAGGGGTAAAATCGTCTAGGCTGCAAAGCTGGACCTGTGTCGTGACTGTAAGGGCTCTTAGCCAATTCCAGACAATACCATTGCTTTGAGATTAAATGCCGCTCACACAGTTTACTGTACAAGGAGGGGTAAAATCGTCCAGGCTGCAAAGCTCTTAGCCAATTCCAGACAATGCCATTGTTTTGAGATTAAATGCCGCTCACACAGTTTAGAACTTGTTCACCAAATCTTATGCCTCCCTGTCTCCCCGGAGGACAATTATCCATAATAACTGCACCAATGATTTTCATAATTGTTTAATTAAACAGGACCATTAAAAAAAGTGTTTGGGTGTGTTTTTGTTATTTGCTTTTTATAATTGCTGTGGTTAGTGATGTGAATAACGGAGTGCAGTCAAAATCTGGTCTAAGGCTGGGAGGTCACAGGTTCGATTGCTATAAAGAATTAGAATAGGATGAACAAGCTGTGGCAAGTTTATTTCTTCAGCTACAATTTCCCCCGTGAATAAGGGGGTTGCATTTTAAAAAGTATAATATTTGGGTGTACTAATTAACACACGGCAGCCAGTGTGATATAGTAGACAAAGTGTTGGACTCAAACTCTGGAGACCTGTCTTCAAATCCTGCTCATGCATTAGTCACCCATCCCTTAAATATCTCACATCCTTTGGAAAGGCTGCCCTAACTCCAGAGTAGCTGAACAACACATAATGACAACAACAACAAAAATGACATACGTTTAGTGTATTTAGAAATAATTACATTTTACCGTAAGCACGAAGAGTCGGACACGACTAAACGACTAAACACACACCGTAAGCAGAAATGGAATATATTGTACACCAAGGACGTCAAAGACCTGTATGCTTACCTGCTTGGCCAGTAGATTGAGAAGGAGATTATTTTGGTAAAAGCATGGAGGCATGTTGCTCTTCCAAACTATATCTCCCAGAATCTTTCAATCAGCTTGGTGACTGGCCATACTGGGCAGGGGATTCTGGGACTTATAGTCCAAAAATGCTAATCATTAATAGCAGCATTCATATACTCCCTTTCTGTCCCTTGTTTTGATTCTCTGTATACTTGAACTAGACATATCTTCTAAAAGGAGATGCCTTCAAAACAAGGACTCTTGATAGTCTTTCAGAATAGAGGATTATCTACTCTGAAGTCTATGAAGAAGGATACATGGTCATCCTATTTTTCACACTGAGATAGGATGCCCTCCCTAAAACGCCTGCAGCTGATGACACAGCATGTCTTCTTCATCACCCCCCTTATCCAACCCTAACTCATTTGGATTTGAATTCTTTTCATTCCATTCTTTTCATCCTTATCTCATCACACATACAACCCTATTCGCTAGTCAAATGCTAATGGTATGTCTGAGCCATAGATTGCAAGCATGGCTAATGAACTACCGCTACTGCTACATTTTCAAGCTGCCATTTCTCCTTGTGGGTGCATAAATATATACGAAACAATAAGCAAAAACACAGCTGGTTAAGTTAATGATACATCTGAGCCCAGGCTGCATGCATGCTAATGACTAACTGTGTAAACAAGCATGAAACAATACAAACATACAAAACACAGTGACCAAAATCCAGTAGTAAGCTGCAAGTAGAGTAGAATACTGAATCGATGGGGCTGTGGTGAGTCAAGTCCTCCATAAGTTCCACTGATTCAATGGGCCTACTCCAGTTGCAAGTTAATACACTAAGCCACAAGATTTCAGCCAACACTTTCCTTACATTTTCACACCTTATACAAACTTTCAGAAAATCAAAAGACACAAGAAGGTCCCAGTGTCTTCCAGTTGAGTCCAGATTCTGTGACATCCCCAGATACCAGAAATCCAGGCCACATGAGATTTTGGAAAAAGAACGTGATGTGATGGTCCCATTTTCCCTTGCCATGTCAGCTCTAATTCCCTTCTCTCTTGCTGTCCCTGAATGCATCATCCAGAGATTTCTGCGCTCAGGAGAGAGGGCATGGCAGCAGCCTGCCTTTCCGAGGATGTCACATTGAGATTTGTGTGTGCAGTCCCCTAAAGCGTCCCTGGAAGTCTTCCGTTGCTTATAGGGCAGTCATGGCAATAGGGCCTGGCAGTGGCCTTCCTTTTCATTGCCTCGGCTTCTCTTGGCCCAAACACCCCAGCTGGCTTCTCTCCACCACAGCTTAATTAAAACCAACCAGGCAGAAAGGAAGGATTTTTTTTTAAAAAAAAAAGGAGGTGGGGAGAGGGAACCGGCAATCTAAAAGGAAATTGGACAGGAGTAGGAGGAGAAGAAGGGAACGGAAGGCAAACTTGGCCAATTCTGCTTATTAACCACCCAGTGCAAGTTGGACTTAAGCTAGACAGATGTACCATTTTAGTTGTGGGCAAAGGTCAGTTGAAAACATTTTGGCTTTCCAAGAAAACAAGACATGTCTTCTTCTGTGCTAGAGCATATTCTGGAAACAGGAGAGGAACGGGATCCAGAAAAGTGTTCCAAAGGTTTGGGATCCAGAGAGGAAAAGCCAATGCTGGCTACAAGCCATGACATTTTCTTCTCGTGTCACGTCTTCTTCTAAAGGTAGCCCTTGGCGCCTGAGATTCAGGCAGGGGGCTCCACTCCACACCCCCATCTTTTCTCCCAGGCAAGACCTCTAAAGAGAAGGAATAGAATTTGACCCATACATGCTCCAGTTAGATCTATCCCCATATGCGTACAATTATCATTTCACACCCAGGGCAATCCGTTTCCATATTTTTTCCACTGGCAAGTTTTTAAAATATATATGTATATGCTTTTTGCCAGGGGATGAAGTGAAGTTCTTGTTATTTATTTACTATCATTTTGTATCATCCACCAGTTAGCTGTTGTGGTTACAATCTGGAAATTTGAAAATGGATTTGTCTTGAATACTTGCACTGTCTTAAAAAATCTACACAGCTGGCCAGCAGAGTGTTGTGGTTAAACCACTGGCCTAGGGTCAGATCAAGTCCCGCAAAGCTCAATGGATGACCTTGAATCAGTCCTTCCCTTAGCCTAACTTAACTCACTGGATCGTTGGAAGGAAAAATGGAGGACAGCATGCATGCTAAGAACTATACATAAATACAGTATATATTTCTGAAATGAACGTTTTAGAATTCAGTGGCACATTCACAGGTGAGTGAATGCAGAAGTGAGGTCACATTGCACCTCAAAACTCAGACCAGGTACGGTGTCCCAGGTTCTAAGGCAGAATATCCCAGAATCACAGTGAATAGGTCACTGTGAGAGCTGTCATTTTTAAAAGCAACTCCTCCCTTCTCTAAATGAAACAGAAACTAGTAGTTTAAAGCGGTCCAATGGAATCAGTTACTAGGAGGTGAATCAACACCTGTGTAAATCCTAGTGATTCACTAGCTCTGCTCTGTGTGACACTAGTAATGCTATGCTGGCCTTTGATTTTAATGTGCTCATTGTTTAGTTTCTTTGTAGTCATGTTATCTATCTCAATTGCTCTTTTCTTTTAGTGAAGTTATAAGAACTGTCTGTCTGTCTCTCTCTCAGTTTCTGAATTAGTAGACACTAGAGATGGGCACGAGCTTCCCATATTTGTGCTGGTTCATCTTTTGGACAAATGGGCATTTCGTGCTCCCCAGCTCTGCCTCCTCTGGGAGGTGCCCACTCAGAGGCAGTGCCCAGAGGAGGCAGGGCAGGAAAGCCGAGGTGCAGCCAAGGTGTTACAACCACTGGAGGAGGTGGTCTGGGAAGCACTGGACATCTGTTTGTTCGAAGGGTGGCCCACTGGACCAGAACGAGCTGGTTCGCAGTGCTACCCTCCTTGGCCATGTTTTTAAGGAGCTGGAGCCCCAAAGAGCAAACATTCCCCATCTCTCTGCTTTGCCCCCTCCTTTTTTTCTCACCCAAGAACTTTCTTTCCCAAGGATTTTACTTTCCCCGTTTCACAAACGATCTTTTTGGCAAGGAAGGAAAAGCACTACGCCTTGCCAAGGGGGCAGCGCAGGAATTTGGGCTGTCAACCCAATTCTTTCCTTCTCGACAAAGGATGATCTTGGCAGGAAAGGAAGAACTCCTCCACCCCTACCCCACCCCTAGTTCTAAACATCACTGAAAAGAACCTTGGGAAAGGCTTTTCAGTTTTAGAGGGTGCCAACCAGAGAGCTCACCCACCAATGACCCATTTCTTTCTCTCGAGATTACTTTTGACAGCAAGTGCCCTTTCTCCTTTTGCGGGTAATTAGAGTCCTGTCACCCAGCAGTCGCTGGAACCTGGCAGCCAAAAGGCCTCTGAGGAAGCTGCTCTCCAGATGCCAAGATGGTCTCCCTAGAAAATTGTGAGATGCGGTGTTCTAGCTCAGTGATGGTGAACCTTTGTGAGCCCGAGGGCCCAAACTGCAACACAAAGCCAACCATGACTGCCCCGAAGAGTCCCACTCCTCTGGCTTCATGACCTCCAGCCTCTGCTCAGGATATGCTCCGCTCTCCCTCGGACTGCAGTCCTTAAAGGTGCAGGTGGCAGGAGCCGGGAGTTTCCATGACTGGCATCTGGGGTGGGTGGGTGTGTTTTTGTGAGCCGCCCAAACTGCAACACAAAGCCAACCATGACCGCCCCGAAGAGTCCCACTCCTCTGGCCTCATGACCTCCAGCCTCTGCTCAGGATACTCCCCGCTCTCCCTCAGACTGCAATCCTTAAAGGTGCAGGTGGCAGGAGCCGGGTGTTTCCATGACTGGCATCTGGGGTGGGTGGGTGTGTTTGTGGCGGTGGCTGTTGCCATCTTAGCTGTCCCTCCCTTCCCAAGAGTTATTCCCAAAATCCAGGATCAGAGGCCAGGTAAGTATTTTTTGATGGTGACTTATGGCTCGTGCACCCACAGAGAGGGCTCTGCGTGCCAGCTGTGGCATGCGTGTTATAGATTCACCATTCATGGTCTAGCTGGCTCCCTTCCCTTATAGCAACACAACTCTCTCTCTCTCTCTCTCTCACATCTGGGGTGGGTGGGTGTGTTTGTGGCATCTTAGCTGTCTCTCCCTTCCCAAGAGTTCTTCCCAAAATCCAGGATCAGAGGCCAGGTAAGTATTTTTTGATGGTGACTTATGGCTCGTGCACCCACAGAGAGGGCTCTGCGTGCCAGCTGTGGCATGCGTGTTATGGGTTCACCATCGCTGGTCTAGCTGGCTCCCTTCCCTTCTAGCAACACAATTCTCTCTCTCTCTTTCTCTCTCTCTCTCTCTCTCTGTGTGTGTGTGTGCGCGCGTGTAAAATATTCCAAACTAGGTCTAGTTTATCCATGCTCTCCTTTAGGCAGTCTGTTCCACGGCATCCTATTCCACTGTGAAACAGTTTATACCACAAGGACATTCTTCCTACTGTTGACCTTTAAGTCCCCTTTCCTTTGATTTAGGTCCACATCCTACAAAGCAACAGAGAGTTGTTTTGGGTTGTATCCAGATGAGCCACAGAGAATAAACTTACTTTCCTCTCCACAGGGTTGATCATCAATAATTTGAAGATGGAACACATTTCGCCTCTTAAATGTATTTTCTCCTGGCCCAAGAGATGTTTTTCAAAAAAACTAAAAAATAGCTCTTGTCCCACGTTAACCTAATGTCCCAAATAAACAGAGAAATGCTGTTCTTAAGGACATGAGGTTAAGGTGGTAAAAGGAATTAGAAGAACATCTGGGAGAAGGTGACTCCTCACTCTGAACCTACTGAGGGCCAGACAGCCTTGCCCCCAAAATTCACCAGTGGTTCTTTGTAGAACCAAAGAGCACCCAGCTGCCCCTATGGACTGCCAAGCACTGTCACGATTGGAGGCCAACTGTTTCCTTCCCTTCTCTTAGGGGGGCAAAGGAAGGAACCGAGAAAGGGTGGTTTTGTTTTATCTCCAGCAGCATCCACAGTGATTTTCAGCAGCCCGGTATGGCATCCGTGGCAGCCAATGGTGGACAGCATAGCCCATGATGATGGGGTGAGAACCACATTTTAATCATCCCTCTTTTAGGGGGCTAGACGTCATTGGAAGGCATTCAGAGAGAAAGCTGAACTACCCATTACTCTTCTTCCATAACTGGCAGGACAGTGGCGTTTTTGAATTTGGAAACGGAGGAGAAATAGCACAAAAAGGCATGTGTTATTCCACCCTTGGTGCTTTGAAAAGGGGTTTTGGGGCGAATGGGGATGTTATTTTGCGATTTTGATGAAGGACACCAACATTTGTGGGCTGGGAGCTGGTTTTCATGGAGCACTTTCTACGTTCATGAATTCTCTTTCTCTGCCCTTTTTTTTCCCCTTCCAGGCTCATCAAACATGGTTACTGGGGAGACCAAAAGTTTCTTCAGCTTTGCAAAATCGGTAAGCAGAAGACCTCTTTGGCTCTGTGAGACAGAGCTTATTTTAAATGGATCCTGTGATGTATCGGGCACTCAGGCCATCTGTATGTCTGCCAGTCACTCTGTCTTTTTCCCTCCTTGCTCTTTTAGTGATGAAGGGACTCTTTTGCAGATGTGGGGAATGGGGGATAAACAGTACACAGCTGGACGATAATTTCAGTCTAGGCCTCTTGCACCTAATATTTTGCAGAGTCATTCACATTATATATGTAATCTCATTTAGGCCCCTGAATTGCTGTTTTAGCTTTGTTATCAACTGTTAAACCAGAATTCATCGCCATGTTTCATCACCCCTGTTCAGCACCTCACCCAAGTAGAAATGGGAGTTGGGGTTTTTCAAAACCAACCTACCTTTAGCTGGATTCTAACCTTGCTGCTACATGTTTGACTCTAGTGGTGGCAAGTGGAAAAAGTGAACCCCATCAAACTATATGAAGAAAACAAGGTCATGGCAGGATTTTCTCTCTTGAACCTGCTTTTCAAACAAGGCCGGAGTGGCTTGATAAGAAATGTAATGGACAAACTCATAACACTGTACAACGAGAAGAAGATCAAGCCGCTGGTTGATTCACTGTGGGCACTGGAAGAGGTAAGCGAATCATTTTTTTTGCTCCTCGTTATTTGCTTGACGATGTGTTGGGCTTTTGTTTGTTTGCTAGCTCCCTCACTTTCTTGTTTGTACATTGCTGATTGAAGGTTTTTAAACCTATATTCAAATGTGAGTCTCAAGCAGGGTAGATCCATGGAATCGATAGGAATTTAGTATGTCAGCTCAACACCAATGCAAGTTCCACTGTGTCAGTGTATCTACTTTAGTTGAAATAAACAAATAGATGTCTGTAAGACTGTGTGATGTAGGGGTTAAAATGTGAGACTGGGGCTCAGGAAACTTGAATTCAAATGCACAATTTGCTATTGAAACTCATGAGGGCATCATGATGAATCACTCCTTGAGCATTGAACGCACCTCAGAAACCCGATCAGGGTTACCCAAAGCTGGACTTGACGTGATGGCACATAACATGAGCAATTAGATTTAGATCCTAGCTATTTGCATAAATCGTGACGTACAGATAACATTTTGAATCTTCCAAATGAAACGATCAGAAAATTGGCATTTTATACCCATGCATGATCTGTCTGTCCATTTGCCTGCTACCTGTCTGTCTATTTTTCTGTCTTTGGGTGGAGAAGACACAAAAAAGTTCCACTTCCTGATTTTGTACCCTGATTTCTTGGGAAATCCTGCTATCAATTTGATCTTTGACAAATATTCTTTGCATCTTATTGTTGTTCTGTACTATCATAGATCCTTGTGTTAAGAACTTGAATTGTCTTACTCTTGTGTACTTTTGATCTCAGTTATATCACACTATGGATTTTGTCGTATTTCAGGCAGTTCACTGGCCCTTGGGTGTCAGTGCTTCTCTTGGGAGGGAAATGGGCTAGAATGGGCTAAGAATAGGCTAAAATACTAGAAATAGGGGAAGATTTCAGACAGTTTAGAAGAAACAAGTTGGAAGTTGTGCAGAAAAAGTTAGAGAATGTTTGCTTGCTGCAAGAACATGTTATTTTCTCACCATGTCATCATCATCATCTGACTATAAGAACATGTTATTTTGCTAGATTCTCACCATGTCATCATCATCATCTGACTCAAAGTGACCCTTTCCTGAGTTTTCTAGGTATCGAGAATTTAGAAGTGATTAACCATTCCATTCTTCTGGGACTGCACAGCTTGCTCAAGAGCCCAAGGCTAGCTTTTCTTGCAAGAGGCTCAGTGGGAGTCAAACTACTAACATCTGGCTAGAGACCTAATCACTGAGCTATCCAGCCAACTTTTCACCACTGATAGCACCAATCATCTACAAAGTTCAACTTTCAGCCAAACGAGAATAGCCATTGCTTTAAGAGACTTGCAGTCTGGTTTTGACATGTTATGGCAACTTTCTGGTACCCTCCAGATCTATCAAATTAATGCTAGTTGAGGGTAATGGGAATTATGCTCAAACACATCTGTGAGGCACACTGAGTTTGGAAAAGATGGCAGAGTGAAACAAACAGGTAGAAAGGAAATTGCAGATGACATTATAACAGGAGACTAGAACACTGGAAGGACAGATCCTGAAGCTGAGGCTCCAATCCTTTGGCCATCTCATGAGAGAGGAAATTGCAGATGGCATTATAACAGGAGACTAGAACACTGGATCCTGAAGCTGAGGCCCCAGTACTTTGGCCATCTCATGAGAAGAGAAGACTCCCTGGAAAAGACCCTGATGTTGGGAAAGCGTGAAGGCAAGAGGAGAAGGGGACGACAGAGGGTGAGATGGCTGGACAGTGTCTGCGAAGTTCCAGTGTGGAAACTTCTGGGTGACCAAATTAAGTTTCAGAGACATTCGTAAAGTCACAGTGGCAAATTGCCTCATGACTAAACGACTAAACAACAATAAACAACAAAGACTTCCTAATCATCATTACAAGGTGGTGGCTTGTTCTGGAAACTGAGAAGAGGACAAGGTGTGTTCCCCCCATTCCTTCCCTCATGAAATATCCCTACATGCTACAAGTGAGGGAGGTTTTCCTTTAAACTTGAGCTACTCATGCTCCCCACCCTAGTAAAGACTTCACCAAGAGTGTGGAAACTTCCTGGTGACCAAATTAAGTTTCAGAGACATTCGTAAAGTCACAGTGGCAAATTGCTCTCTCACTAACAAGGTGCTGGTTGTGTTCCTGGATGACTGAGCAAAGGGGCCCAAGCATGCAGCCCGCACCTCATGAATAAGCAGTGGTTTGCTGCCAAGACTTAAGAGATTTCCCTGATGCAAGTGTAAATTGCCAGTTCGATTTCGGCCAGCTTAGCTCAAAGCTCTCACTCCTTGTAATTAAGCCTAAGGAAAATTACGGTAAATTTTTAGAACAGGGGTTAGAAGAGTACAAAAGCAGTTATTTTTTTAAAAAAGCACTCAACATTGTAGCAATTTGCTACAGGAAAATGGAAGGCTCCAATATGAGTTTTAAACGACTTGTTGTGGTTTGCTGCTGAATTAAAATTATGCTTTCAAACGAGGCTTTTTCCTGCCAAATTATGCTGGGGTACAGCCTGAGATGATTACTAAGAGGAGGACAAAACTGGCCCACAGACCCACCAGCATCACCCACATCACCCAAACTCAGTAACAGGGCATCAGATATTGGTAGTCTTACACAGCAACATTCTGTTATTTGTTTTGTAACACTTCATTTAACATTTGGCAGCAATCTAGCCTGTCATTCTGACATTCGCCTCAGACGCATGCAAATACAATCTGTTCAAAACTCTAGACTCCTTTCATTTACCAAGCCTACTCACTCTTCATAGTCTAGTGGGGAATTTGCAAAGCACACCCGTTCTTGGAATCATGAATAAGTCTTTAATGGAACTGTGTTTTGTGAGGGTTTTAAAAGTATCTTTTGAATTCAATCTACATTTTCATTCACATGCTTGCCGTTTTGGCTAGAACAACACAGAGTTCTTAGGAAGAAATGGACCGATCAATGTATGTGTTATGTGTCGTAAGTCAAAACCAACTTATAGCTACGCTTATAGGGCTTTCAAGGCAAGTGAGAGATTTGAGGAATGGCTTTACCTGTTCCACCCTGATCCCAGGCTTCCTTAGCCAAATCAAAGTGTCCTAAGGTCTGATCCATGATTCTATTCAATACATTGCACTGGGTATAACTGATAAATAAACTGAATTCTTTTAAATATTGCCTTTCCAAGAAGCTGCCCAAATCAATGTGGATAACATCCACACACAAAAATGAATCAAAGCAATATGTATAAATATATATTTGTTGATCAAAAAAGCGAATAAAATGCTCACAAACCAAAGCTATAGAGCGTTCAGAGAGATCTACCTGGCGTATTCTTGAAGGCTTTCACAGATGGGTTCCGATGGTCGTTGTAGGCTTTTCGGGCAGTTTGGCCCTGTTCTACCTGGCTTTATCTTAGTCCCCACACTTTCATTGAGTCAATTGGGCCTGGAAGGGGGCAAATAAAGGGAAGTCGACGTTGATACCTCCTTCCTGTCTTTGTGACTGAAGTAAATCCCATATAAATTTATCCAAGCTTGACTTTGGCTGTACATACAAATAACTCTCTCTTAAAGCAATGAGGTTTATTCTCATTCATCATAGGAGACAATGGAACAACTGCACTCAAGAGTAAATGTAAGAATTAATAATCCTAACTTTTCATAATTGATTCTCTCTTCCCCCTCTTTTTAAACTATATTTTCCTTTTCTTAACTCAGCAGAGTTATTATTCAAAATGTTGCTTTGAAGGCCCTTCAGGTTGATGTATCTCATATACTTCAAAAACCTTCTTAAACCCTCAGAAGCAACCTGACAGCATCTAACAGCAACAATATCCTTACAACTCAGTGTAAGAATGATTTCCATGTTGCTAATCTTATAGTCTCTAAAATATTAGCTGTAGTTGGGGGAGATTTTTGGTGGGGAATCATCCAGTAACTAAACAGGATGAAATGGTTGCTGTGTTGCTCCATCTCCAGGTTTATGCCATACGCAGTGGAATATTTCCGAATTCAGTAGACTTGCAGCCACTGTGACTGACTTAAGCTATGACATCCCATAATGGGCCTGCACAGCATGAGTCAGTGTGAGAATAAATAGAAAGGTTAGACCAGAATACCAATGAATGGGTCATTTAATGATGTGATCATTCCAGGTCACTAATGCATGGTGATGCTTTTGACTCAAGCAATAATTACTTAGTGCGAACATCAGCATTTCCTCCTGTGTCTTCTTCCCCACTCAGTCTGATTTATCTCCCTAATGATCTCGAAAATATCAAAATTATCAGTGCCCCATGGCACTCCTCTGATGTTCTTCTGTGCGTCCAACACAGGTGTTTGGGGCTGCTCACCAGACCATTACCATGAGCTTCACACCTAGAAGACGTCCCTACCATTGCATGTGGCCCAGCAGGGGTCCTTTATTCAGAGGGCAAAGTGGGCATTTGCCCAGGGCCCACGGTCTGTAGGGGCCCCCATGAAGAGGGCGATGGAGTGGCCAAAGCAGTATCAGCAACCTCCCTTCCACATGGGGCCTGCTGTGGACTGCAGCCTCGGCAGGTTCTGCACACAACGTGCACAAGTTTTCCTCTTCTCTGAGCATGTGCAGAGTGCTTTAGAGCTCAGCTTTAGGCTTCCCTTGCCTCGCCCCTCCCTCATAAGCTCCATGTTCATTTCATTGTTATATTGTTTGTTTGTTTACCTAAGCATTGTTCATGTATTTCCTGCTACCAAGATTACCTTAACGAGCCAGTCTTATTTATGTTGTATTATATTGTTCACATTGTGTGACCTATTTAGGTGGGAGGTCAGGGAGAGGGAGGGAGGAGGAGGAAGCCCTTTGTCCCCCCCCCACTATTATATCTTTTGCCCAGGGCCCATCAGAGCCTTGAATTGGCCCCATAGCCGAGTATTCTATGTATGAACTTAATCGTATATGTCCTAAGCTGGTGGGGTGGGGCAACATCCAGATAACAAATTTGGTCACCTTTGGAAATTTGAGGGGCCCCCACAC